CGTATTTAACGCCCAAAAATGCTCATATAAAGGAGTTTAAGGTATAAAAGCAATTGATCACTTTCCTTGTGCATCCCAAGTCAAACAGGTCCATTCATATAGATAGGCCGTACAAAGAAAACACCAAATCACACCCTAATGATGGTTTTCATTATAGCTAAGACCATTTTACTAATACTTTAAAAAAAAAAAAAAAAAAGCTTCTAATCTAGTTGAGAAAGCGGGTAAAGCCCTGTCCACCCCACTGCATTATCCAAAAAAAAAAAATAGAAATGATTCTTCCCCACATATCCATGGACAAACAGTGCCCAGACGCCAAGTGAAGAGTCACAATTTTTTTTTTTATTTATGCGGGTCATATACGATGATGACCCTTCCATTTATGTAAGTAAGTTTTAGATAATTAGCTGATGGACCTTCACTTCAAATTCAGCTGGCTTCCAAACCCTTTAACAGCAAAGCCTGATGCCGGACAATCTGGTGGGGAATAGTTGTAGGTATCCTTGCATACACATTGTTTGGAGTTGGAATCCCCTTCGGTGCAATCACATTTTTTGCACCAGATGGGACAGTGATCCCTCACGTCCGAGCAGCGACAAATTGGGGGACATGACCTGGTGCAGAAGCCCCTATTGCAGCATGGGCTGCAAGTGTCACCTGCCACCACCACCACCACCACCCAAAAAAATAAAAAATAAAAAATAAAAAATAAAAAATAAAAAGAAAAAAGGTTTAAGAAAATAAAGTGAGTGGAGTACTAAGAAATAAAAGAGCTACGCACCATAGAAAGAGAGAGAATGAAGATTCAGAAGGGGAAGAGGGCTTGTTAGTTTTAAGCCTAAAGCCTTCATCACTAGCCAAAGCTAGTAATATATTGTTTGGTAGCAGTCATTGTTTAGTCGATCGATGCCGAAACGGAATACCATTTCGTGGAAAATGCCATTCGATGGTGCACCGTTTGCATCATCTGTAAAAGGGGTTGAGACCCCCTTATTCATAAATTATCAGGAACAATGGTAAAACACTGTAAAAACAATTTATCCATTGTTTGCCGGCTATAAATACTTTGTAATCCAGCACCAAAACTAAATTACCATATTTGAAAAATAAGAATCCCTATTTTCTGTTTTTCCTATCTCCCTAAGGAGAACTTTCTACCTGCTTATGAAGACTTACCAAAGTTGGGATTAGTTTCCATGCCCTTCGCCGCGTAATCACAAACACCAATGAACGCAAATAGAAGCATCACCACAACTCTAAACCCACCCATTCTGTTTCCTTACACACACATACAAGAAACAGGGTTTGCGACTTTGTATTGGAGGGTTGGGCCTTTATAGAGCGAAGCGAGGACGCGTTGGGTGCCTTTCCCTTCGTTTTTTTTTTTTGGGCAAGGCTTGTGGATATATGTGGAAATGTTGCATTTGGAGTACATTTCCTTATCGTAAACGTGTGGATTTTCGTGGTTAGGTTCAATGAATGGCAATGCCATTTATCTTTAATTATTGCTGTCCTATATTTTATATATATACATATGGTAGGTAAGCTTTTTATGCTTACCACTAGCATCATTTTTAAATAATTAAAATACGACGCACTCGCGTCAATTTTAAATAATTAAAGTAAGATAAGCGCGAGTATTCAAAAGTTAAAGTGGCTTTGATTCGACACCTGGTTATAAAATTTGAAGCGTCGTCATACAAATCTTGTATAAATATTTCAAAAGTAATGACTCATATATTTTTTTATATTAATGTGTATAAGATTTTAAAAGATTATTATTAAATTTGATGTAGATCTTCAAAAAAGTTATCACATGAGTGTTAGATTTAACTTTTTTCTAGATATATATTAAATTTGATGGTTATCATTTGGAGTCCTACTCGCAAAAATGTAAAAAAGTCTTATAGGATCACTACTCATATTTCAAAATCATAAAAATGGTAGTCTTAAATTTTTTTTACAAGAACGTTATTTTAAAAACTTGAATCTTTTTTTTTTTCCTTTTTTAATATCAATATATTTTCATGTGGGGATGATCCGTTGGATGGTTTTCCAATATCAAAACAATTTTTCCATGTGAGTTTTAGTTGCATTATAATTTTATAATCTAAGGTTGATGTCTTATATAAATTTTTTTTCCATATAAAAAAAAGGGTCTCAAAGAACAATGCTCAATCAAAATGTTTATTTAAATTCTAAAATGAAAATAAGGACATGCAGACAAAATCGAATGGGCAAAATTCACTTCAAAATGAGACAATTTATTCATTTATTTAGAGATCAATCTTAGGGTGCCTATGGATAATTTGTTAAATACATATGATCGCAGTTTTTTCAAT